TTTTGGTTAAGACCAAATTCTGTTTTCGGTTAAAAAAAATTCTGTGATGTCATGTACTGTTTTTTAAATGTATTCTGTGAAATTCTGTGATAATAAAAGTTAATTTTGCATAATTATGTGGTAATTTTTATTGATTCTGTGATTTAATGCGATTAAAAATATAAAATGCATAATTGTATTTTATTTCTTAAATTATTTTTAGCAACAAAAAAAAAAAACTAATTGTCATTAAAATATAACATGCTTAATTGCTTTAAAGAATTAAGTGAAAAACTTTGATGATCACTATTTAAAAGATTATTGTATATGGAAAAGCTGCGTTCTACACTACAGCTAGAAACTAAAAGCCAAATGTAATCCTGTGCAATCTCTGATAAAACGGTAAAGTTGATTGCATTCCTATCCAATAACTATGAAGATTTATTTCTTCAATTACATCATTTACCAATCCACAATAAATTGCCTATTCTTGTAAAAGTTCATGTGAAGGATTGTTAAACTCAATAATAGCTGAATATTGACGAATGTCTCTATGAGTAATATCACCTACTTGATTTCTTATTTTAATATATAGGGGGTTAAAAATGTAACAAGCCTGGAATAAAGAGCGAGCAGGATGTTGTGGAATATGTGCTGCATATTTATTATATGCGGCAACAAATGCTAATCTAAAAATACTATTCATTTCTTCCAAATTAAAATTAAACCATGTAATAAGATCATTTAAATTAGACCCAAAATCTTGTGCTATAATATTCCCTTCAATAAACAACAAAAGTTGTTTAAGTTGCTTTTCAACATATGGAAATACTGGATTATTTTGCTGCTAGAAAAAATCTAAGTCGTGAACAAATTCTTGTGCATAAAATATTATAAAGTTAATACAGATAATAACTATGCCTTTTTTTTGTCTATTCTGCAAAATTTCATTTATTTTAGCAATTGATTCATTACTCATATCTTTTTCATATTCTTCTGAGTAAAAAGAAGGCCAATATTCGATACTATCCTTTGCATAAAATACCATTTTAAACCATGAATTCCAACATGTCTTATTTGGTAATAGAATTTTACCCAGATTTTCAACTCCATGCATTCGAAGATGATTTAGATAACGACCTTTGCGTGCAGATGAGTTAACAAATGTTTCTTTAATTTTTGATAAAAGAATTTTTACAAGATTAAAATCAGAAAAAATTCGCCAAGTATCACTAGTAATATAATAAATATTACTATATATATACATATTATATAAAAAATATAAATATAAAATTATTTAAATTATAAAATTTATTTACCCAATAAGATTAATAATGTGTGCACAACATGGTGCATGAACTAACTGCGGCATAACTGGTTTTAATACTTTGCAGTAATATTTTTTCATGTATGCTGCTGAATCAGAAACAAATAATCTCAGCAAAGTATAATTAATATTATATTTAGCCAGAAGAGCTAATAAAACCCCTCCAACCGTTGAATTGTTAACATGATCCAAAAAATTAACAGAAACTAATTTTGTATTTTGGTGAAAAATAAAAAGTGTATTTACAACACTACATGAGCATTCATCCGTAGTTTTATCTATTATTATTGCTACAGATTTTTGATTAAAAAGATCTTGAAGCAAAGAAAAATGATTATTAAATACACGGGGTAAGTAAAGTTGACATAGTGTAGACGCTTGAGGAATCATGCCACCTTCTTTAAGGTGTTTTTTAAAAAAAGGAAGTAGACTATTTACTTTTTCAAGAGGAATATTTGCTAAAGAAAAGGCTTCAATTAAATCCTCTATAACTTTTTTTTCGATTTGGATGCAATTGCTGCACTAGCAAGTGTAACTTGCTTTTTTGATTGTTCTTTATTTTCATAAATTGTTTATTTTTTTTATGTCCTTTTGAATTACAATGTCCATCGATAGTAGATTTAACTTTCTACTCAATGGACAAATCACAATAGTTACAAAACAGAATTCCTCTATCTTCTCTAAAAACACCTGAATACTCATTTAGACAAGTAGTAATAGAAATTTTTTTCTTTCATGTTGTCATTAGTCAAAGGAAAAAAAAAGAAGTAAAATTAAAAAAAAATGAAATCGATATCAATTTAGTTTTAAAAAAAAAAAGCTTCATAAAAGTAATTTTCTCTTTATTAAACTGATTACTAAATGTAAAAGTTTGCACAATCACGAATCGAATTATAATTATTAAAGACACATATAAAAATTTTAATACGTATTAAACTTGCTTACAATATATGTAGAATTGGAAAATAACTTTCAAAAAATTAGTAAATTATTGCAAAATTAGTACTGATTAATATATATAAATAATGAGTAATTTAAGGAATACCTATTTTAGAGAAGATTAAAGTTTGAAATAACAGGTAATTTAAGGAATACTTATTTTATGGTCTTGGATCCTTGGATCTAAAGTATAATGAATAGTATTCTAAACTATTTTTTATCTTATGCATAAGCCACTATACTATATTTGGACTATCACTATAGATTTCTGTGAGAAACTTTCTAATTTTGAAATTCTGTGCCATTAATTTTAAATTCTGTGGTATCTTGTGATAATCAGAATTAATTTCTGTGATTAGCTGTTTTTAAGAAAAATTCTGTTGTTTTCTGTGAACGCAGTAAATCATCAGCCCTGATTCCTCTTAATTTATTTCTTATATATAAAAGTTCTTCTATATACAAATTATTCTTTAATAAAATATTATTTTTTATCTATTATTATTCATAAAACTATTCTTTATTTTATTCCTTTATTTTCTTACTTCTATAAATTATCTTTCTTTATTTAATTTTCTTTCTTTTTCTTATAATAATATAAAGTAAATAGCTGGTTTTCTT